TTCTCAAAACAAAAACTTGCATCGGTATACAATTATAAATTCAATATTTTAACGAAAAAATTATTAATTAAAAAAAAAAAAAACCCTTGTTATTATAAGCCATAGAGAAATTAGGATCTAATAAAATTGTATTATCATAACAAATAATTGCATTTTAATGGTTATTTTTTGTTGTATAATTGTTTTTCTAATTCTTATAATCGCATATACCCTTAGAATTTAAAAATTTAGTTACCTTTTTAGAAATATGCAATACAAAATTTTGGATTGAATTAGAGTGCATTAACAACGCACTATATGGCTATTCATTTTAATTCTAAAGTTGTAATATGAAAATTAATAACTTAATTATAAAATATAGCCTTTTTTTTAATAAGAATGATTACTTTTTCTATAATAAGCATGGAGGAATTGTGGTTATTTAGCGATTACTTTTTCACATTATTCAATAGCTTCTTCGTATTTCTTAGCATCAGTTAAAGCATAAACTAAAAGAATTATTATATATTTACTTTATGCAATAAACATCACTACATTAGTTTAATTCAAATTTAATTCTGATTCTGAATAGTTTAATAGATCTACATTAAGTTATCATTAATCTCTTTAGCCTAATCTCTCATTATTTTGCCTTTTCCTGGCTGATCTTTTCAATTAAAGAAACACCTAATATTAATAAATATACATAAAAAGGATTTTAGCAAATGATATTTTTTTTCCATTATTTTAAATATTAGGACATTAGATCTTAAGCCTCCTATAATTTATACTAATTTAGTAATTGTATTCCTATATAAAAAATTTAAGTAAATAGAATACCTTCTTAAAGTAAGCTTTAATTTCCTTATTCAATAATTGGTATTTGTTGCTAAAATTATTTGTCTAAATCAAAAGCATGTATCATTCTTTTAATATTTTCAATAATTAAATATTTCATACTAAAAGATAATTGAGAATTTCTTATAAATATAAATTTCACTAATACCTATTTAATTAATTTCAGAAATCTTCTCTTCATTATTGTAATATTAATACCACTCCTTAATCAACTGTAAATTATCCTTCATTTATTGATAATCTTATTAACTTTTACATTCAGATAGTTTAAATAATTATTTTTTCATGTTTTCCAATTATTTTGAAGATTCTTCATATTTTATTTTGATTTATCCAAAGGATTCATTCAATTAATTTGTTAATTCACATATAGATTTATTGAATTTAGTGACAAAACTTTAAACTTAACCAAATCCTTTTAAGTCTTTTTTAAGATTTTTCATAGGATCAATTCCACATTGAAGACAGAACTAAGATCTTAAATATTAGCAACTCAGGTTGAAACAAAAACCTTATATATCTTCACCTATATGTTCTATAAGTTAACACATAAGCAATTTCTATTAACTCATTTATCAAATTTGATAAAAAGGTATTAACAATAGAAATGATTTGATGCAAATAAAACATATCTAATTTTATATATACAATTTATTATAATTTTGTAAGCCATCTATAATTTTATTAAATTATAGAATAAGTATTACAAAATATATGATATGAATTAATTTACAAGTGAATGTCAGCCTTATACTTGAAATCTACATTTGAAATTATATTTTCTTGTTGTAATCGATACTCTAAAATATTGAGGTTTTCATATATAGTTCTTATTCCTTTCTAAAGAGAATACAGGGGGCCTCGATAATATCAATAATAATCTAGATCCTTAATAGTTAATCAATAGTAAATTTTGAAAATTATGATAAACTAAAATATTCTATATACTCATATGCATCTAGTACATTTCATCATTATTAAATTTTCTGTTCTTGTTATCCAAATAACACATAGTACATTAATTAAATTTTGGACATTTTAATTATATATAAAATGAAAAATGAATATTTTTGATTAATATCATACTATCTTTACGTTTGATGTTGTAAATTATAGAATATATTTCCATTATTAAATTTGCAGTAATTTAAAAACTTCTAAATTTAAAAGGAAAGTTATCTAAGATTGCTTGGGATAATTTTGTCTGAAAATTTAAGGAAAATATAAACCATTCTCAACATCAATATTTTTTGGATGATCAATTTAGAAAAAGGTTTTTAGAGCAATTACTGGTCATTGTATACGTAGCTATATTGAATTTTTATTAATTTATTTAAAAAAAGATAAAAGGAATTCTATTATTGATAATTAACTGATTGAATATAGGATGCATATAATTTAAGAAAAATGGAAAAAAATAATTTGCAAAATCGATCACACCAAATTCAATATTTATTAAAATTATTAATAAAATATTTTATAAAATTTCAATCAATGTTATTAAATTTAATTAAACTATAATAACATTTAATCAACATTTTAAAAGTTCTTAAAATTCTACATAAATATAACATTTATTTTAATTTAGATCAATAATGTGATTATTTTAAAAAATAAATAAGGTTCGATATATTCCGACCAGAAATTGAAATAAGTAAAATTTGTTATAGAGGATTTTGAGTTAAGTGAGAATTTAAAAAGTAATAGAAATTTTATTTAAATTTTAAGTAATGTAAACTTCAAGTATATTTTAATTTTAACATTAATAATATATCATAATATTTTTTTTTTTCTTTGAATTAATAAATGAATTAAATAATATTTATTTTATCTTTATATTGATTCAATAGATTATTTTTTCTTACAGTCTTTTCATAAAATTGATATAGTTTGAAAGAAATTTACAATAAAATTTTTGTTTGAATATTCTTCTAAATTAAATTCTATAATAATCAATTGCAACTATAATCATAGTTTACTTATTATGCCAGAAAATTTGAACTATTTTTGTTATTTTCAACATAGATGTACACAATTATGTCTTATTACTTGTTTTTTCAATAATTAAAAAATTAACTTGAGTCTTTTAACATGGAAACACCATTTGAATCTATTTTTAGTTACCATTAATATTATTAATAATGAATACAGTAAATCATTCTTAAAACAATTGTAATTCTTAAATATCTCTAATCATTAAAACAGGAGAATTATTTATTTACATTTTTTTTATTGTAATCAAGCATAAATACAATTAATTTCTTACCCTCTTATTATTTTTTTAATAATGCTATAATAGATAATAATTGACTGGAGTTGGATAATATGAGAATTATTACTTAATATTAGTTCATTAAACTAATAAATCTTAATATTCGAATAATGGGGATAATTAATAATTAAGTATTTTAGGCACTTTTTATTATTTCTAAAAAGAACTTTAAATATATAAGTAACCCTTTTATTTATGTTATCAAACCTTCCCAGAAGGATATAATCAGCAATCATTTTAATTAGAGAATCTTTTAAGCAACACGATGCACAAATGGCTTTTTTTATTATACATAAGAATAATTAATTTCTATTTAATTTTCTTCTATATGTGTAATTGATATTAATATCTTAATTAAAAATTTGATATCCTAAAACAAGGATAGGAGAAACAAAAATAAAATAGACTACTTTTATTGAACTCTTATCATTATTCTTTTAGATTTATAAGGAATTAAAAAAATATTTGTATGTTCATTCTACTAGATAAATAGTTTTAAACTTTTAAATTCTTATCTGTAAAAATATAAATTACGAGATTCTTATAATAAATATTAATTTTCCCAGAATAAGTTTATTTTTAAATTACTGTTGCATTATGAAAACTAGTTAATTAATGCAATCCAGCACTTAAAATCTTTTAAATCTATTAAGTTTTTCTTAAAAGTAGTACCTTATGAATAAGAAAATGTTAATTCTCCTGAACCTAATTAATTTGAAAAAAATAAATAAAATAACAATAAGGATACAAACTTAAAATAAACTAAAAGTATAATATCAATTGATAAAAATAATATCATCGTAATCAATCATTTGGATAATTTAAATATTGAAAATTAGAAAGTATAATTACAAAATTATTGTATTTGATCAAAATGAAAACTTTGAAGGAGTTGTTTATAGTTGGTATGAAAATAGGTATAATAGACGTAAAACCATTAAAGATTGTTTAATTGCTGATTTTAGTTTGGATCAAAATTATCTAATTTATAGTAATTAAACCGCAGATTTTTACTTGATTGATATCTAAATAACCAATTAATATAATAGTGAAACTATAAAAGTGAAATTTAATAATACTTCTTGCTAAACTTTTAATTTTCTAAAATTGAATTCAGAAAAGTCAATATTATTTTCAGGAAACAAGGAATAGATGTTCTTTTGGAAATTTTGTAAGGAAGAAGATCAGGCTTAATTATTGCTAAGAATATTGGAAAATAACCAAATGCTTCAGATATTTTGATTAACTCATGATAAATTTTAAAATTAGATTTTTCGGACGCTGATGAAAAAAAACTGAAATCATACCTTATATACTACTTTAGGAGATAATCAGAAAAATAGACACAAAATTTATATGTGGATGAAAATTTAATTTTTACACTGTAGCTTTTCTTCAGATCTTTCATTCTGTGTTACTGCAGGTAAGGTGAAAAAGCCATAAGAAGATTAAAAAGGACAACAATAAAAACAATAGATGGAGAAGTCATATTACAACCAAAAATAAAAGTAGAAGTTTTATTTTTTGAATATTTAATCATATGGAATATTAGAACCTTAAGATATTATCTTTATTACAAAAAAGCCAAAAAATATATCAGAACATTAAAATCCTCCACACTTTGCAGTATTTTTCCTTAAAAATAATTATGGTGTTAGGTAATGAATAGAATATCGAAATTATTTATTTCCAAAACTTGGTGCCGTCAAAGTAATTGCAACTGTTAATAATAACAATAGAATTCATAATTTAATAGTCTCCAAAGATAAAAAATTGTTTGTATCTTTATGTGAACTTGGAATTTTCAAACTTTGGAATAACAGTTAACTAAGTCAAATACTCTATATCGAGTTATTTACTTTGGAAAATATAAAAACGATTATAGATTTACAAAGGATCTTTTTTGTTATAGCCTTTTTAAAAGAGAAGTTTAATAAACATAATATTTAGAATAACTGAATCTTACAAAGTATTCAGCAGTCAAGTTCTTTTATTCATTTTCTTGTTTTCAAACTCTTTCAATTATTCATAAGTAAACTACTATTGCATTTGGAGGATCCTATGGAATTATAATACATATCAACAAAAACATATTCAATAATTATGAAAATATTTGAGTAGCTTTTGCAAAAAATAGTGATCTTTTAGCAGAAGCATAAGATTGCAACATCTATTTGATTTAAGTAGTAGTTGACCCCTTAGATTTCAAGATAATTAAAGAATTAGAAGGACATAATGATAAAATTATGTGTTTATCTATCTTACACAATAACTCTACGATTGTATCAGGTTCAAAGGATAAAACTATAAGATTTTGGAACATTAAAGAATTAACTAGTATTTACATTCTTAAAGGATTTACTGAAAGAATTTCAGAGACATCATTATCTCCTAATTGTATAGATATGGCAGCAGCTATAGAATATGGATCAATCAAACTCTAAAAAACTTTAATTTTCAAAAGGTGTTCATGAGGTACATCAAGATAAGAAAGAAGAATATATTTAATGTCTTAAGGTTTTTGGAAGATAAAGCCAAATATCTGCAAAGAATTGTATTTTATGGGATGCTGTGATAGAACAGGATGGTAAATCATTAACAGAATAATTTGGATAGAAAAAAGCTGATATGAAAAAGGGATGTAATTTTTATATTTATGTATTTTGGATATCAATATATTAAATTAATAACTTTAAATTCAGATCAATTATGTATCATATATTATTAATCTATATTTGATATAGATATTCTCAAATGATCAGATGAGATTTATTTGTGATTTACTAATTCTATATTTAATTTATTGAGATTATAAGTTTATATAGACAATGAAAGTCGTAGATGTGAGAGAATAGAGAATTTATTGAATAGTCTCCTTATTTTCTAGTTATACTGGAAATTAAGCAAAGAGTTATTAAAAATTAGCTTATCATTTTCCCTTAATTTTACTTATAATATTTATATTAGTTTTAATGACACTGCAATAATTTTAATTTAATGAGTAAAATATTTTGTAATATAAATGTTTATTTAATATTTGTTAAATAAATTATTTAGTTGATTAGATTCATAATAGTGGTGAAGAGTAAGTAGATTTTAATAACAAATAATAATTTTTATTGTTATTCTCAATATTTCGAATAGGATTAATTTGTATTTTAAACTTTTGTTCTAATTAACTTTTGGTTCTCTAAGATAAAGGAAAAAATATGAATTTAGTTGATTAAAATAATTAAGACATAACTCAATTTTATGATTATTAGGCTTTCAAAATTCATATATTGACTTTATTATGAATCATCTAATCCAATTATTAGTGCGTAAAGTTGAGTTCTCTGTGAATACAAATAAGACCTATTACATCAAATAAAATAATTGATTCCAAATACTTAATATTGTAGTTATTTTTTCCTAATTAGAAGCAAATCTAAAAAAGGAAGATAATGTTAAATTCTTAAAGTTTTTTTTTTTCTTTTTTTTTGTTGACTCCAATCTAAACAAGTCAATATCATCCAGGATAAAATTGATTATATCAAAAATTCTTCATTATGATGTATATGTTTCCAAATTGTATAACATTACTTTTTATAAACCTTAAATACACCGAAAAAAGTAGTCTGACTGATATGGGGGAATATATTTTAGTTTTTTATGAGATGGATATAGTCTGTTCAACAAATGTATTTAGAAACTGATGATTATGCAAAATTTGATTGAGGGAATTACAACATAATATATCAAAGCATCTGTATGCACATCAACTCTTGACGAGATAGAGGATTCATAGTATAAAAGTAGCCTTAAAAGAAAATGAAATTTCAAGAGTTTTATTTTTTTTAATAGATTGTTAGAATTACCGAGTGGAAGATAGGTGTTTAGGATTATTGATTGGTTTATCCCAGAAATTTCCCACATTATTTGAATAGTAATTAGGAGGATGAAAGGAAGATAATATCCTAAAAATGAATTTTAAGATTATTCGAGGAAATTGAAAAGCAGGTATTTGTATTGGAATTAAAGGCTTTAATTAATTTAGAGTATTTATTTGGGATTTTGAATTAAATACATAAATGAAAAGAGAAGATTATAATTTATGATATAAACATTTATGAGTTAAATTCAATCTAATTAGACTTTTTTTTCAATTAAGTTTAGATTTTAATATTCAAATTTAATTGAACTTTAAATTATTTCTAAAAACTTAAGATTTGAACAGTTAATCAAGAATATTGGTTTGATTTATTCACATACGCCCTTGTTGGCATAGAGGGAAAATAGACTAGTAATAGTCTAATATATGATAAAGAATATATATATTGAGCTATTGAGTATCAGTAGTAGATGTTTGAATGGTAAGTTTCTTATACGAGACCAAAAAATTTATTTTAGGGTTAAATAGAGCTTCCTAGAAAATTAGAGTCTTGGTAAGAATTTAAATAAATGCTAATAACATCAAATCTTAATTTTAAATAAAATTAATAATAAATTAATTTTTTCATTATGAAATTATTATACTATTTTCCAAAATATTCCCTTATTAGAAATTCTTTTTTAAAAAGTAAAGATTTTATCTTAAATATGAAATACTTAACTTTATTTCTTGTCTTATTTCTTGAATTTTAATCCAATTAATGATAAATGGTTTTAAGCTAAATAATTAAATTATTAAATCAGGAATAAATCGGAATTAACATTAAATAACTTTGATATATATTATTTTGTAAAGTTGTTATAGTTTAAGACAATTAAAGAAATAATTTTTATCGTATTTTTCGGAATAAATATGATGGCTTCCATTTTCAGAAAAAATCAATAAGATGATCAAGTTAAAAATGACTTCATTTAAATAATTGAAGAACTCTTAAAAAAAAGCATAATTAAGTTTTAATGAACATAGGAAATTAATAACAGTTTAGGGAAATTAAATAAAAAAAAATTTGTTTAATTTTATTGAGATTCAATGTAATATTTTAAAATTTGGGGCTCATTATTAGAAATTTAGTCAATATACAGCACAAAGTGATGATAAATTTTAAT